TCGTTTATAATTTAAAAAAATACGCGCTAAAAAAATACACTGTTTCACTTAGCTTGAAAAATCTGTCTGCTAGATATTTTCTTTGATAATTTAAGATATTTTTTAAAATAAATATTATTGTACGCAATTTAATTTTAAATTATAATTAAAATAACGTTCATTTTATATTTAATATAAAATTTTTTTCTAATCTCATTAATAAAAATATAATTAATATACTTAATTTTCTGCATTCTGACGAAAAATGTATCTACTGTGAAGTAGGATATATAGATTTTAGATGGAAAGAAAATAGTGACAAAATTATAACGTATGTCATAAATTAATAAAAATTATATACCAATTTTGTAGGAGTATCTCAAGACATAATGTATAATGCATAATTCTGTTGATCTCACAAGCTTCTAAATATAATGTATAATGTATTACGTAATCCTAATTTTTGGGTCATGAAACTTTATATGCGGAGCAGAGTGCAAAGTTGCTAAAACAAAACTCGATGAAATATTTATTAAAAAGTTTAACATCCGGGTTTTTTTCCAAACTTATAAAACATATGCTGCAGCAGCGAGGAAGTGAGCAGAAGTGAGAGAGGATTTTCGAACATGTTGCGACAGCTGCCTACACATCGTTTGCTCGAATAAAAAATCTTTCACTGTTAGAGCCCGGTGCTTACATTCCCTTTGTCGAATCGACGTCTCGGCGATGTCGCATCGTCCGAGACGGCGGAAGCCATTATACGCGTTTTCCAGCTCACTCGTAATCGCGTTACAAGGTTCCTCGGGAGCAGTAACGTTAACGCGATCGATCGCGCCAAGTGAATCGCGTCGTTCTCGAAGGGGTCTCGAATTATTCGTCGTCTATGTCGAAAGTGGGGCGCGAGCAAAGTCGAGAATCGTTAGGAAAAATGAAAATAAATTGCCTGGCTGGGTGGGTTCTAAGTAGGCCGTTGGCGATTTGAGTACGATCGGAGAAATGGTGCACGATAAAAATGCACGGTGTTTGTTATGTCGTTAGACGAAATCGACTTTATTCTCTCATTACATTAATATATGTAAATTCATCCATTCGTCTGTTTCCCTATTTAAACAACAACAACAAAATAGAAGAAGTGCCTTGCCAAAATAATTAGTCCTCTTATGATGGTGAATTTTCAAAAGATCTAAAAAAAGTAGGACTGAATCTGATCCGACGCTGTTTGGTTCATTTTTTATTTAATCAATATATAATATAATAGATAAAAAAAAAAGGAAATATATAAAGCAGAGACATTTTTTTAAATTTTGCAAATTATATAATTAAATGACTTATTATTAAATATTATATAGTTTAATTAAATAGCGCATTTCTTACTGCACTGACTCCAATAACTCCTTTTTCGAGTACTTCATTTTAAATAATATATATTGTATCTCATGAAATGTCTTCCTTTATTAAATAGCGCATGAACGTTATAAAATATACGAATCTAACCCTTACTAAAAAAGGATTAATATATATATAATAGGATATTTCACAGAAAGATAGCCCTTTTCGGTATTTTCGCGAAAACAATCTGCAATATATAAGGAAAAGTCTTAATGTCGCGCGTATAACGTAAACCGGTGACAATAAATTTCGTGATTACGAAATTGCTGTCTCGTTTATTTGCTGGGAAAGAAAACAGAGAAAGACTCGAGATATTTGATATCCCTTTTCTTACCGTAATCTCATCGAATTTCAAAGTCGAGGACAGTTAGCGAAACTAGGAAAAGAATCTCGGTTATTTTTTGAACTTCTTATACGCAACTCAGGGAGACGGATGTCGCGAATAGCTTTCCGAGAAAAGTTAAAATGCAAGAGCAAGCCATCGATATTGAATATATTGAATATTCGTAGATTATGCTTTGTTTAAAAGATGTGAGCTACAAGCTTCTTTATTTCATGGATGAGTTTGTATTGGACTGGCTTATATAATGCAATTTTTGAAATCGTACTCTGTTTCTACTGCAGAAATCGAACATCGAGAAATATATGTAAAACAAATATGTTTGTCCGGAGAAATATGTCAATTTTCTTGCTGTACACATGCACAGCAAGAAAATTGATTTACAATAAATTATCGAATAAACATTTATCTTTATATTTTTGCACGCATACATCATAGCATTGTCTTTAAGAATTCTTCTTTAAAATGATAAAAAAGAACATAACAATAAAATTATATAAAGTAATATATGCCGTTAATCAATAAAAAATATCTCTCCTTTTTTTTTACTTAAAATCGACAATTTTCCTTTAAAAGAGAACATCAAGAAAAATAATAATTTATCGCAACTTTCCAATTTTCATTATTTACATTATGACTAAAAACATATTATGCTGATATTATTTGGACATTAATTAAAAAATATCATTTTTTCATCTATATTTTTCTACTAAACTTGCCTTACGAAAAGTTTTTTTTATTTCAAACCTGTAACCATCACATACATATTTGTAATAGTATTAAGATATTTTTGCTGAAAAAATTCTCAATTAATAAAAAAAATATTCTTATACATTTACTTCTATCTACGCAAAGAAGAACAATTTTATCTATCGTACTGTATTTAGGCATGTGCACATTTTTATATTTATTATGAATCATTTTATGAGTAGGTACTTTATAAATAATAAAATAGTGAATAAAAGCTCGTAAGAGTATCGAAATAATGAAGCTTATGAAAAGCCCGAGTGCATTGAAAGTAATAAGCTATTTTCTATCGTGAACTTTTCAATAATAAGAAAGTCTTTAATGCTGCCTTTTCTGTATTTAAATATTCATTCATGCTCGGTGGAGTCCCCCGGTAGAAGGGAGCTCTCAGTAATTTAGCGAATCGATTTAATTCCCATCTCCGAAAGATAAATAATCTCGCGAGATTATTGTTCGCTCGATGAAATTGTCAAATATTAAACCCAATCCTCATATAATACGAGATTCCCTCGTAAAGCTCCGGACTGCATGTCGCCATCGAGATCTCATGGGACAAATAAAAACTCGCGTGCGCGTTAAATAATATAGTAATATTCGGATATCAATTTTATGGTTGACATCCGTGTCATGATCTCCTTCACGTTTATTTCCGTCTGA